AGCTAAAGTGTCATTGAGCCTAGCATGGTGAATTGCTTCTCTAGGGGACAAGCCAGCCTGGCCAATGGGGAGAAGGCCTGGCCAAGGGGCACCTGCAGTTCAAAGGACAAACTTGTGTAAAGCTTTGGGATGGGGTATGTTGCTGTGTAGCCAGGCCTGAGGGAGGTCACTCTTTGCTCCCTTTGATACAGGTGACTTGCATAGTGGCTGCTGGCTTCTGCAGTAGCCACCTGAGTCAGCAGAGCTTGTCTTGGGCACCATCCAACTTTCCCTGCCCACTCATGCCACCTGGCTCCAGCCTTGGGACACAGGGAGAGGAGTCAAAGTAGCCACATGCAGTGTCATGTGCAGAGTAAGGGCTGGACCAGGCATATCCGAGTGCCATGTACTTGTTCACTTTCTGAGGAAAGAGGTCCCTGACCAGTCCCATTTCACAGATGGATAAACTGAGGCCCAGAGCCACTGCTGGCCACAGTCTCCAGTTGTAAGGCAATAGAGCTAGAATTCCATTTTTAATTACATTTATTTATTGTATGGTTGGGTAGGTGCATACATGCCACAGAGGATAACTTGTGGGAGTTGGTTCTCTCCTTCTACCATGGTTGGGTCCCCAGAATAGAACTTGGGACATTAAGCTTGGCTGCAAGCTCCGTTGCCCAGTGAGCCATCTCATCAGCTCCAAAGCTGGGATTAAAACCACGTTATTTGACTGTGGGGATCCTCAAGATGGGTTGGGGTGGCCAGTCAGGATCCAGGCCAAAATCACCAGCTTTTCCAAGTGGGGCATGTGAGAACCAAGCTCCAGGAGAAACTCAGAGGTTACCGTGTGTTGTCCTATGGGCCTCAGCTTTGACGTCAGGGATGCTCTGTCATCCCAGAGGCTGTGTGGGCTGGCTTAATCATCATCACCAGCTTTCAGACACCCTGGGTAAGAGGCATCACTAGCTTTCAGACACCCTGGGCAGGAAGCTTTGCTTCCTGGTTTGGGGGATTCACCCAAGGGTGCTGACTTTATGTGGTACCAAGTGGGGTCTCTGTTCACAGCTGGACAGAGACAGAACCCTAGACTTCTATGTGTCATATGCCAGCCACAAGTCCATATTTATAAATTGCACACAGCCTATCATCTTATACTTGAAGGTAAAGGTAGGAGGATCAGGGGCTCAAGGTTATCCTTAGCTACATAGTGAGTCCACAACCAGCCTGGCATACTAAAGACCCTGCCTCAAAAATAAACAAAACCAACAACCACCACCACCTGCTGGCAGGGAAGGGTCACAGGTCTAACCCAAATTAAACAAGAGCCTGTCATCCTTCCACCCAGCACTTGGAGGCTGAGGCAAGAGGATCTCAGGTTCCAGGGTTAGCCTAGGCTACAAAGGGAGACTGTCTAAAACACACACACCAGCACCGAAGAAGACACTGTGAGCTCACACAGTAGGGCCTTTGTGGAGAAAGCTCTGTATGTCCCATCTCTTTCTTCCCTGACTCCTGGCTGTGGAGCAATGCCCTGACACTGGGCAGTGTATAAAGGCATGGCTCTGGCCCTCTGCTCTCCAGAGACAGCCCTGTGACCTCATTCTGAGGAAGCAGTCCCCAGAATATTATCAAGCAATTGCCATGGAGGCCTTCCCTGTTTCTGGTGCATGAGCTCCAGAGGGAAGAGTTGTGGCTGTTTGAAGCATCTTGTTGGCTGGGACCTCCTGCTTTCCCAGACAGAATGTTCTCTGAGTGAACACAGTGCCATGTGCCTGTTGTCTCACAGACATGGCCCAAGTGCCTGGTGACGGCTGTGTACACAGTAGGTGCTTAGTTCATACTCCTCCAGTGATAGATCACATCTGAACATATGGCCTAGAATGGACCAGTACTCAGCTCTCAAAAAGGACCCAGATGGCAGGCATATATATCACAGTCTGGTTTCTCTTGCCCTGTGTATTTGATCCCTCTTAATAAGGAGGTGAACTTGGTAGCAAGGTGAGCTGACGGAGGACATGAGGTCTATATACGGACATTAGGAACCAGTGACTCACCAAAAGGATGGTGGTGGGTGAAGTGACCACTCATGGCTCCCAGACCATGGGTCCTGCTCCAGGGTGCCACAGAGCTGCTCAGAGGGGGAAAATGACTGCAAATCACACAGCACATCTGAGGCCAAGGCAGGGCCTGATTCAAGTTCCAGTCACTGAGTCTTCCTAGGTTTTCTGTTTATGTACCCAGGGCGATAGTGATCCGGCCCCTCCTGGCCTTTGCTACTGGGCTTTGAAGTTGCCACTGGGCTTTTAAAGTGGACACAGCTCAAGGGTTTCCCTCTTTTTCCTAATCGTTCAAGACTGTAGATGCCAGAGTCTGCCTCACAGATGCTACAGGGGCCCAGGAACAAGAGAGGTGCCTGGATTGCTATGCAACATGCTTCTGAGACTGGAGGGTGAAACCATCTACAGTTATAACAGGACCCCATGTAGCACACATGTAGCTGCCACCAGACAGTAGCTGGGCTCCTCTCTTGGGTGGGGAGTGACCAAGATTCATGGCCTTGCCCTCCTGAAATGCTGGGCCTCATGATATATATACCTGTCTCACATAGCTCAGCAAGATGCTCATCTGTAGGAGAACACACACACACACACACACACACACATACAGAGAGAGAGAGAGAGAGAGAGAGAGAGAGAGAGAGACAGACAGAGACAGACAGAGACAGACAGAGACAGAGACAGAGACAGAGAGAGTGAAAGACACACAGATAGGACAGATACTGAGACAGACAGGCAGAGAGAGACAACAGAGACTGAGACAGACAGACAGACAGACAGACAGACAGACAGACGGACGGACAGACAGACAGACAGACAACGAGACAGGCATAGACACACGGAGAAACAGGGAGAGACAGAAACAGAAAGATAGGACAGAGGGAAAGGGAAGACTGAAGAGAAACACAACAGGACTGAGAGCGTGCGCCCTCAAGTGGCCACCCTGGACTATGTGTGTTGGCGACTGGAGACTCAAGCTTCCCCTCTCTGGCCACCAGATGTCTTGGTTCTGTGCAGCACAAGGCAGTTTTCAGTTTTCAAAAGTCACGGGATTCTCAAGGCTTCCAGTGAACAAGACCTCACACACACTGTTCTCCACACCTATGTCACACGTGTTTCTCCATCTTCCTGTGTCCGTCCCCCCCCACGCAAGTTCCTCCTCCCCAGACAGGAGGGTCTGAGCACGGTCTCTGTCGCCCTCTGGTGGTAACATGCTATTACAGTACAGGGCAGACTGGAACGAAGCTGGGTTCCTGAGGAAGCTGATCCCTTAAGAGAGAAGACCACAGACAGACTGATTCAGGGATGTACCAATTCCCTGGCTATCTGAGGCAGGGTTCAGTCATTCCTGCACCCCATATCCTTAGGATATGAGCATATCCTTAAGGCATTGGCACCCCCCCCACACACACACAGAAAAGCCACGAGCAGTCAATGAATGGTCCCAGGACCACAGGAGGTGGATGGGTATCTTGTGTGGGTGCTCCCTCTGCAGACTGGAGCAGTAGCCCATGAGTGAGGCCCACCTCCCGTGCTGGAGTGACTCATCTGCTCATCCAATGTACAGAGACCCCCATTTCCAATAAAGCTCTGCCTGAGACCCAGGGTGAACATGCACTTTGGGGAGATACTTTTTAACCCAGCAAGCAGCCCATAGAGGAGGGAGTAGAACAGGGCTAGGAACTATGGGCCAGAGAACTGTGGGCTAGGAACATTACCCAGAGAGGAAAACCACAGGACTGGGGGAGCCCACATGGGAGGTAAGGGTCGTGGCTGCCCCAAACAGAGGGCATAGTACCTCAAAGAACTTGCAGAGGTTTGTTGTGTCTGTGTGCTGTCTGGGGGACCCGTCCCGAAGAAGGGGAGCATAACACAGGTGTCACTGAGACAGACACACAGGTGTGCTCCTGAGGGCCAGCTGCACAGCTGCCAGCTGCCCCGCCCACCCTACCTCTTCACCACAGCACCAGGGGCTCTATCTCCCTTGTTAGGTAATTGTCTAGATTCCAGAGAGGCCAGGTGCTTTGCTTCAGGTCACACAGCCAAGCTGGGGTTGGGATTTGAACCTGGTACAGCTGATCTGAAAGTCCCTGCCTTAATAAGTGTTTAAAAGCAAATACCAGCATGGTCAGAGCTGGAACACACATAAAGCTGACCCAGTGTGACAGTCACCCCGGTGAGCTATCAACACCCTGCTTTGTTTTCCCTGCCTCCACCACCAGGCCTGGGTATGAATCTGGCTGCCTTGTATCTTAAGTGAAATGCCAGGCTGTGACACACAGACCTCTTACCATGAGTAAAACACACCAAGGGCTGTGAGGATTTTAGTGCTGTGACACTGGGGTCACCTTTCCTAACTCTAACAGTGGGAGCCACATACCCAGGGAGACCCAGGCCGCCTGATATGTCAGCGCTGCGCTGAGCTGCTGCTCCTCATTCCTTCATTCACAGACAAGTCCTCCGCCCGCCCTGCTCCCCCTCATTTGCCGTCTACTTCTTCACCTTACCCTTGACAATGACACCACCTTCTAGGCCCCGTGCACCTGACCCTCTGCCTTGGGACCCAAATATGCAGCAGGGCCCAGGGTGAAGTCCCAGGCAAGCTGCCTTCAGGGGGCTCCCTGTCCCCTCCTGGTGAAAACAGTCGCTTTGGACCCCAAGAAGCTCCGTATTTGAAAGCATGTGTAGTCTCTGTTCCTCCCACCTCCCATTTCAGAGTGCAATTAAGCCCAAAGCAAGCCCTCCTCACCCCGCAGGGGAGGCCCTGGTTGCCCAGCAACCAGCTGGGCTCCTCCCAGGGCTTGCCTGGGATGGCCCGTTGCCTGGCAACCAGGCAGCAGAGTCCCTTGAGCCCAGCCAGACCACACAGCTGGGCCCAGCCTTGGCTGGCTTCTCTCCGCCTAGGGGACCCCTGGGACTTTGTTCTTATTCCCCAAGATCAAGGCAGCAACTGCCCCATCCGCAATGAATGTCCTCCTCTCCAGGTGAGCAGCCTGTGCTGCCGGGAGGGAGGTGTTGGTGGGACTCTCACCTTCTGCTGCATCAGGGAAGAGGGCAGTGAGCTCCCTGCCATCCCTTCTCAAGGTGAGGGGAGGATAGGGCTTGGGCCACAGAGGTTTCTAGACTCCAATCTGCCTGCCTCGCCTTTGCTGCCTGAAGACCTGGTGCAGCCACTATCAGGTCTGTTCCCTGCTTCCCACACATACTGCCTAGAAAGCCCTTTACAACTCCAGACCCAGACCTTGCCCTTGGGAGCCCTGCCCACTGCTCTGCCTAATGCCCTGGCTAACTGTCACTGGCCCTCCATGATTAACTTTGAGTTTCCCTGTGGTCTGAATGCACCTACTGTGCTCCTTAATAGCTGGCTCCCCAGTCTCTCCCCACAGGGCCTGATTTCCAGAGCTTGGGACCAGCACATCTATCCTGTGTATGAGTGATGCTCCCATGGAATCTGGAGCTTGCTGTGTGCCCTTGGACAGAATGGGTCTCAGTTTACTTGGTTTAAAAATGGAGGCAATGTTGCACACACCTTTAATCTCAGCACCCGGGAGCAGAGGCAGGCAGATTTCAGTGAATTTGAAACCAGCCTGGTCTACAGAGTGAGTTTCAGGACAGGCTCCAAAGCTACAGAGAAACCCTATCTTGACTCCCTACCTCCAATGGAGGCAGCAACATATAGGGCAGTGTGACCAGAGCATTTGTAAACTACAAAGTTAAGGCTCATTAGGAAGGTGAGATGATGCTCCTCGAAGGTTCTGCCTTGGGGGCAGGGCATGAGGGGCTTAGGCTTTAGAGAGGGAGAGCTACAAGAGACAGCAACAGCCTGGGGCTGAGGAGTGGGGAATGAGGAGGGAAGCCTAAGGAGGCAGACCCCGAAGCAGGCTCCTGCACTCCCAGGAAAGTTAAGGTCACATGTTATCACAGGGTGTGGGTAGGTTACACAGAGGGGGACAGGGACGAACAAGGATGGGTCATGGGAGAGTTGGCATAAGCCCAGAAGGTGTTGCAATGGTGTTGAGTGTGTTGGTTCAGCAGTCTGTAAGGTGCTCCATGGAGGAGCCCAAGGCTGGTGGGGAGGGAGGAGGGACCAGCTAGAGGAGTTTGGGAGAGTGAGGGCCTAATACCCTGCAGGTAGCTTGTGGGGACATATGGCACCATGCATCTGTCAGACCTGAGCATGCAAGCATCCAGTGGGAGCTAGCACAGCTGTCTGCAACAATGCCTTCCTACTGGAGCATACCTGGCACCAAATGGACTGCAAGAAACGAGATACTGGGAAGGAAAGAGGGTGTGCAAAATGGTCCTCTTAAAAATAAATTGTGTGTTTGTGTATCTTAGAACGTGTGTGTGTGTGTGTGTGTGTGTGTGTGTGTGTGTGTGTGCACACTTGTTCAGAGCCCAGAGGAGGATGTTGGGTGCCCTGTCTATCACTCTCCACCTTATAGCCCTGAGACAGGATCTGTCACTGAACCAGGAGCTAGGCTGGCAACCAGAAAATCAGTCATCCTCCTGCCTCCATGCCCCACCATGCTGGAGTTACATACAGGTGCATGTGGGGTCACTCCTGACCCTTTTTTTTTTTTAAGTGTGTGTGTTTCATTTGGTTTGGTTTGGTTTTTGAAAGAGTTTCTCTATGTAGTCCTGGTTGTTCTGGAACTCTCTATGTAGGCCAAGTTGACCTCAAACTCACAGAGATCTGCTTCTCCAGTGCTGGAATTAAATGCATGCATGACCACGTCCAGCTCATATTTTTAGATTTTCAGTTATGTATGTGTATATACAGATGTGGATTTGTGCACATGAGTGCAGATGCCCATGGGGGCCAGCAGAGGGCATCAGATCCCCTGGAGCTGCAGTTACAGGTGGTTGTGAATTTGGGTTTTTCTATAAGAGAAATAGGCATACTTAACCACTGAGCCATCTGTCTAGCCCCTCTCCACTATTTAACTCAGGCACTGAGGATCTGAACGTAGGTCTTCAGTAGTGTTTTTTACCCACTGAACCAGGCCTCAAACTATTCAGGCCTCAAACTGTTAGCCTCAAATGGATCCCCCGAAGGTCATTCATTCAACTCCAAGCTTCTAAAACGGGGAAAAGAGTGGACAGCATGGGGAGGACCTGTGACTGTGGAGGGGGCTAGAGGAGGAGCCTCTGCAGTTGATACAGTGGTGTGCACAAGAGTATGGAGTGCTGCACCCCTTCACAGGCTCCAGGGACAAAGGCCCCGCCTGAGTTCCATCCACCGCTGCTCAGCCGTGGGACACAGGCAGGGCTTGTCTTCTGCCTCAAAGGGCCCAAGATATCACTCAGAACTGTCCAGGGAACAGGTGCTTGGGGACAGGTGCTTGGGATGGTGCCTGCCACATTGGAGAGATGGGTATAGTGGCTTCAGTGACCATGACCTTGTCTGTACTTGGTGTTATCATCCCTACCCAGGGACAATCAGGTGAGGGCCATGGAGAACATTGTGACCAATGCTGAGAGGTATTTTGGTCAGTTCTGCTCGCTGTTGGCCTCCTACACGCGCAAGACAGCCCGGCTGCGTGACAAAGCCGACCAGCTGGTGAAGCAGCTGATGGACTTTGCTAACACTGAGAACCCAGAGCTGCGGGCTACCATGAAAGACTTTGCTGAGGACCTGGCCAAAGTGCAGGATTACCGGCAGGCAGAGGTGAGCATGGCGGCCCGGGTCAGGAGTGAAAGCTGGAACATTCTCTCCCTTCATGATCACATCAGTGACAGGGTAGGGCTAGAAGGCTTCACGGTGTTGGACAAGAACTGCTCCAGTCACGGGGACCTGGAAGCCTAGTGGGGGCCCCATGAGGTCCCCAGATTCCTGGGTGTAGGGAGAAGATGAAGGAGATAGCAATGGAGCAATGTCTTTTCAGAAACAGCCTGTGTGGTTGGCAGAGAAGAGGATGAGAGAGAACTGTGGCTGAGCACTACAGAGGCGGGTGCACACAGCACAGGCTGTGTGACAGACAGCTCCTGCTACACTTACATCTAGCCAGGCAGGTGCATGCTCTTGGGACAGAGGGCGACTGTCCCTGAAAGACACTGCTGTGCTTCTCCCATGGTCCATGGAGATGTCACATGGTCACTGGGTGGCTATGCCCACTATCCTTTTTGGGGAATAAGGTCACTCTGTAGCCTAGTCTGACCTAGAACTCAGGGCCAGCCTCCTATGTGCCAGGATTATAGGTGTGAGGCACCCTTCCCTGTTCTGACCAGTTGGAAAATTGAAGCTTCTAGATGCATGCAGGGCAGTTGAGTGCCACCCAGCATCCCCACCCAGTTGAGGCCTCTGGCTTCCTCCCATGTGGAGAGCTGGCCCTAAGCCTAAGAAAGAGCTCATACAGCCACCAAGAAGGACATTATGTTCATACAGCCAAGGACATTATGTTCTTAAAGGGTTTAGGACATCAAAGGGATGGAGAAAGAAATTGTAACTGAGTTTTCTGAAAGTAAGGAAAGGGTGGAGCTGACCCTTCTATGATCCTTTACCATAACACTGTCCCTAACAGGGAAAAGGGCACTGAAAAGGAATGGCTTAGCGGGACCAGAGCCACTCCTGCTCCTTTGGCAAGCCTGCTCCCCAAGATGTTAGGAGCCATGACAGGAGGGCAGACTCTCTAAATGTCTTGCCCAGACACTGCCCCCACCCAGGCCTCCTCCATCAAACTCGGACTCCTCTGCTGCTGGTGCAACCCCAAGACCCAGAGCAGTGCCATCTTAGGATCCTGCCAGGTGCTGGGATGTATTCACTTTTCATTGCTGTGTCCAAAAGCCTGACTCATGCGATGGGGAAGTCATGGCGGATAGTGTGAGGCAGCTGGTCACATCGCATCTGCAGTCAGAAGGCAGAGAGAGAGGGATGCTGGTGCTCAGCTCACCTTCTCCTTTTTACTCAGTTCCAATCTTGGGCCCAGGGACTGGTGCCACCCACTCTTATAGTGGGTCTTCCATCTCAATGAATCCAATCTAAAAATTGTCCCCACCGATGAGGCCAGAGCTTGTCTTGTAGATAATTCTAGGTCCTTCCCAGTTAACAATGTAAGCTGTCCCCTTTCTCTCTCCTGAGCTGTTAGCTATTAGGAGAACCTGGAATCTTAAGCCTGGGATGAGGTCCAAGGGTCTTTCTTGCATTGTTTCCTGGACCCACTCACTGGCCCCTCCAGTACTAGAAGTCATGAAGAGCAATCATCTTGGAGTCCTACACCAGTCTTTGCTTCGTAAACCTCCATCTCCTTTTCCAAGAAGCTCAACACCTTGAGGCAGTCTGGAGCCCAGAACTGCACTGGGCCCAGGAAAGGGAAGGGCCTGAAGCCCTGTCTCTGCCATGCTGGGATTCTACACACAAACTGTCCACAGAACATGTCACCCTCCCTCGTGATACTCCTAATTTTTGTGCCCGGTGTTGTCCTCCCAGACTCCGCAACTGTTCCACTGAGCTGTTGAGACACCCTGGGGCACAGTCACTGTACCAGGGCACAGTTGGGAATGCCAGCTTAGTGGGAACAAGCACATGGCAGAGCCCTTGAACGCAGAGCCAGGCCCTTGCTATTCCAGGTGTAGGCCCTGTACATGTCCCCTGGGGGTGCAAGTGACTGATCATAGAACTGTCTTCTCTGTTTTCTTATGCTGCCCTGTAGGTTGAGAGGCTGGAGGCCAAGGTCATCAGCCCTCTGAAGCTCTATGGTGCCCAAATAAAGCAGACCCGGGTGAGCTGGGTGCACCTCAAGGTGTTCAGGGGTGAGGACTGGCCCCTTGGGATCTCTAGGAAATGACCCTCTTTTTTCTATGTAGGCAGATATCAAGAAATGTAAACGTGTCCAAAATAATGAGATCAAACAACTGGAAAAGCTGGAGAAACTGAGGCAGAAGTCACCATCTGATCGACAAATGATTGTATCCTTTCTCCTGGTTGGCAGGGTAGCCGACCCACACAATGCTCTGAAGGGATTGGGGACCTGGATCCATTGGGCAGGGGCTGTGAAGGGGGTACCACCTGCAGGCCACCTGGCTTCACCTGAATCCTTAACAGCCCTCCTCAGTCCCAGGTGAGTGTCATGTGTCATATTTCCATCTGGGCAGGCAGCATCTCCACATCTTAGGCAGGTAACAAAGACTTCCTGGAACGGTAGGTGACACTTACCCAGTGAGGCCAGTGCCCAGGGTGATGCAAAGGGAGGGTGGTTGCTGAGGGTCAGGGGATCTGGGCTCTGTCACCTGCAAGCCACCCAGTCATTGGGTCACCTGTATCCTGATCACAGGGTAGCCACTGCCAGCCCCAGACCTACTGCCCAAGCCAGCTTGGGTATAAATGCTAGACCCAGTGAGATGGTGGCACTACCATTCCTTCATGAGCTCCAGCCTGCCTGTGAACTGCGGGCAGGGCTGTGGAGGACTTGCCATCCCTGCCCTGCTTGTCACTATGAAAGTGGCCTCATTCAGAGTGGTCCTTCATGAACTAAGTCATAGTTGCACTTTGACCCCTAGGAACATTTTGGATTGTCATGTAGGAGGGTGTCATTATGACAGTTCCTTTCCCCCTCTCCCTCTCCTCATAGATAAGGGGTTAGAATCCACTGAGGGGCTCTCTGGCCTCATCATAAGTAGGCAGACTTGGGTTCCCCAGCCCTTGTCTCCTTCCCCCACCTTTTCCCTGCAGTTACACCTTCCCCCAGCTCTGCTCCAGTTCACTCCTGTTGCTTTATCAGAGAATTCGGGATCACTATGCACCTTAGTCAGAAGCCCACAGGCCACTGCAGCCCAGTGTACCCTATACTGTGTCTGGTGACATGTGGACAGGACACAGGGCTTAGGAGTTGGACATCTTTTTTTTTTTTTAAGATCTATTGTGTGTGTGTGTGTGTGTGTGTGTGTGTGTGTGTGTGTGCAGTGTTCTGCCTGCATGCCAGAAGAGGGCACCAGATCCCATTATATATGACTGTGAGTCACCATGTGGTTTCTGGAATTGAACCCAGGTACTCTGGAAGAGCAGCCAGTGTGCCCTTAACCTTTGAACCATCTCTCCAGCCCCGGAGGTGGACATCTTTGGATCCACAATCCTGGTGTCCATTCTGTAGCATGAAGAGAACCACACCTGAGCAAGGGGATCAGGCATGGCTTTAAGCCTGGGGCAAGCACCTCTGACTTCTATCCCAGCCTCCACTAGTGCCCCTACCTCCTGGTCACTCATCTGTTTAGATCCCAGCTCCCTTCCCTGTTTGGGGACCTTATGGGTGCCAGCCTCTAGCTCCCTTGTGTCCCCCCCCATTTCACAAATATTTAGTTGGTGTTAGGGCCCCATTCTAAAAGAGAGGCAAGTGAGACCCATGGGGGTGAATTGCTCAATGTCACAGGTGAACTTAAATGCCAAACTCAGAACTCAGTTCCAGTGAAGGCTGCTCAGGGGTGGTCTTGGTACAGAGCCAACTTTGCCATATGAGGAGGAACAGGCAATTCACCTGCAATTGTCCATGGGCAAAATCAGTTACCATGAACATGGAGCCTCCATGGAATAAAGCTCAGACCAGCAAGTGCCTATCTCAGAATGACAGTTATTGCTGGCAGTGTTGGCGATGGGTCTGGGGCCCTCTGGGCCTCAAACATGATGAGTGTGGGTCTACTGTGGAGTAGTTCCCCATCTCTCACCATCCAGTTCTCCCAACTTTGCAAGCGGGTCTCATTATCGTCTCCCAGCTGGCAAGAAAATTTAAACTCAGAGAAGCTAAGTGATTTACCTGAAGTCACACAGCTAAGAAACAGGTCCGTCCAATCTCAGTGACCACCCTTTTACCATGATTCTGCCTGACCATTTCTTCAATGACCAAGCTAGCAAGAGACCCCATGAGGCAGGAGGAACTCCCCCCAAATGATATGGTAGGTATGAGAACAACCCAGAATGATATCTAGGGACCAGGACCACCATGTGACACTTTCTACCTCTTGTGTTCCCGAGGCCAGGCGGAGACCAGTGCACAGAGGGCCTCTGTGGACACCAACCGCTCTACTCACCACCTGGCAGAGACAGTGGATGCCTTCCAGGAGCAGAAGCTGAAGGACCTCCGGGTATGCAGTGGCAGCCCTGTGTGGGTGCATGCATTCATGTGGGTGGGTATGACTTCCTGTGTTTGAGAGCAGGTACACATGCAGTGTATGACCACATGACCCTCAAGAGGCCAGGGCTCTGGGGAGACTTGATCCTGGCTGCAGATATGGGTATGCTGGCCTCACCCAACTGTTACATGCTCTGCACACAGCTCCCAACCAGGAGGATGCTGATTCACAGTTCTGTCCCCACTGTCCCCTCCTGCTCCTGCTCTTCTTTCTCACCCATGTCCGCAAGAAATCCTAACTCCTCCTTGAAGCTCTAAAAGCCGTTTTAGGAAGCAGCCATGCTGAGGTGTCCTGAGACAGGCAGGGTCTCCTTTATCTCCACCACAACTGCCCCCTTCAGCACTATGGAATACTAGGGCCAGTCCCAGGTTCTACAAGAGGTCTCCAGGAACTTGCTCTTTCAGGGCTAACTGGCCATGGATATCCCTGTCTGCTTCACCGTCCAGCTCTCTTTTTCCCACTCTTCAACCCCAGGAACCCCTTGACAGACAGCTCTGATCTGTCAGTCTTGGGATTCACACTCTTTGGTGGCTCACCTTGTCCTAAGGTCAAAAACCAATCCAGCTCTAACCCAAGGCAGCAGCCCGGGTCTTCCAGCCTCCTGTGCAATCACCCCACCCCAGGCTCAAGGTCCAAGCTCCTTCCTACCTCAGGGTCTTAGCACAGGCTGTGCCCTGTGTCAGTCCCCTGTATTGGGTTTACCCCTCTCATCTCTGAGGACCAGAAGGTCAGCTAGACCCCCCAGACCACCTGGCATATAGATCCAGGGCCTGGGATATGGTGGGTATGTGGGAAATAGTTGTGGGATGAACAAGAGAGTATATAAGTGAGTGAAAACTGGTGCAGGCTGTCTGGATTAAGAGGCCTTTCAAACGGCAGTAGCCATTGTTAGTGTGGTGTGAAAGGTACTTGGCACCCACGGGGTCTTCTTGCCTCTAGGTAGAGGGTTGTCCCTCACCCCTAATTTAAAAAGGACTGTAGGTGTGTCTCTGTGTGGTGCCGATACCCTGACTAGGCTTCTCTCCCACAGAGAATCTTCTCTGACTTTGTGACCATCGAGATGGTCTTCCACGCAAAGGCAGTGGAGGTGTATTCCAGTGCTTTCAGGACCCTGGAGAGCTACGACCTGGAGCGAGACCTGCAGGTGGGCTTGTCTGTGCTTTCCCGAATTTCTATCTAGCTTGAGGGCTTGCTCTCATGAGCTACTTCAAACACCTGGTCCGAGTGCCACCCCGTAGTGGAATCTTCTCCTGGTCACCTGGAACGTCACCTCCTCAGCATCACAGGACTGTTTAGTACCAAACAGAAACAGCAGGGACAAAAACTTTCTGTCTGTCCCCAGCCATGCTGATTAGATTCACAACAAGCTTTATCTGCAGAGCCCTGCCCCAAAACTGATGCTGTGAGCCAATCATCTGTCCCTTTATCTTGTGGCTTTGGGTCACAGTCTGGAGCTGGGTTGTTTCAAAGGCCTCTTTCTGTATGTGCAGATGGTAATGGGAGGTAGCTGTGCTCTGGATACAGGGAAAGGGTAAAGGTGCCTTGGGAGGCAGTGTGGGGTTCTATGGATGAGGAGCTTGGTAACTGAGCCAGGAGTCGACAAAAGCCCACAGCCTGGCACCTACCCCAGGTTCCCCTGGTGAATGGTTCCCACCAGCCAGCAGCCCGAGACATAGGGAGCACTAAGGCCTGGGGCAAGAGGAAGTCATTCTGTTCGCTCCTGTCAGGGTGCCACAGGCGACCCACTAAGGCTGGCACTCAAGAACAGAACTGGGGGCGAGGGACAACCCTTTACCTAGAGGCAAGAAGACCACATGGGTGCCAAGTATCTTTCACACCACACTAACAAAGGGCTTTTACATATGCTGTAAAACCACACAGAAGGCTACAGAAAAACCCCAGGTTCGCCAAAGCTTCATTTATCTCTGTGCCCCATGATAGCCTCAGTCATGATCTTCCTGCCTCAGCCTCTTCAGTGCCAGGGTCACAGGCACGTGTCCTGTGTCCCAGCTCTACAGTACTCTTTCAGGGGTTGAGAGTAATTTTCTTGTGTGACTGTGTTACCTAGAGCCTTTGGGCCTCAGTTTTCCCATCTGTTTGATGGGATTAGAACACCCTCTTAGGAGGCTGCTGTGGGTCCATAACATAGCAAACAGGAAGTGCCCAGAGATGCCTCATAGCTTTCTAACTTTGCTTCCTACTCCACTCCTGTGCTTTCAAGCTGGATCCAGCCCCTCTGCTCTTTCCTTGGCAGGACTTCAGAACCAAGATGCGTGGAGTTTATGGGCACAGCGAAGCTCGGCCACTCACTGACAACAGCCCCTCTCCATCTGTCCCTTGGCCTCTGGCAAGCCAGGTGAGCACTTATACATCATGGGAGTTAATCCAGGGACAAAGTGAAATGGCACGTGGATGAATGGCTGACAACTGGAGCAGTGGTGGCATTGCTGGGGAGGGACTGCCTGTGTCCACCTGCATGTGCCCAGCACCCCAGAGGCACGCTGAGGGGAGTGCACTGAAAGGAGGGACCTGGCATGGCAGGTTACAGGCAGATTCAGAACTTCTCATATGTTAGGAATAAGGCATGCTCACCAAACGTCATCTGACAGCTCAGGAATAGCTCACTGTCATCAGCCTTAGGCCAACAAGCTCAGGGAAATTGGCAGTGTCTGCAAGTGGGGTGTGGTCAGGGCAGACATGGCCCCAGAGTCACAGGGAAGAGAGGTGGCCAATGTGAGAGGAGGTGGCCAGTGTAAGGGGAGGTGACCAGTACAAGGGGAGGTGGCTACAGTGAGGAGAGGTGGCCACTGGGAGGGGAGGTGGCCACTGGGAGGGGAGGTGGCTACAGTGAGGAGAGGTGGCCACTGGGAGGGGAGGTGACCAGTACAAGGGGCTGTCACTGAGCTTCATGAAGGTCTTTTCTAAGCACACTGAAGGAACTGGGCTTTCTCCAAACTCACTCTCCCTGGCTGGTACTCATGCCCTCTCTTGGTCTCGCCTGCTAAGCAGCTCATAGCCATAGTCACTCCTCACGGCAGTGTAGGGGAGCCACCTCTCCAACTCAGGGCTTGTTACCACCACTCCTGGTTTGGATGTTGTGGCTGTGACTTTTCTTTCTGACATTAAGAGTGTTCAGAGCACCATGGCACACCAGGAGAAAGATGAAGAGGAGAGTGAGGCTGACTCTGTGGAGGAGATTCCCCTGGAGGACCTCAAGGGACAGCAGCAGGGACGCCATGTCTAGGAAGAGGATCCCAGTGGCAGATGGAAGGCCTAGGCTGGCCTGGACCTTGGTGGGCTCTGCTTGTGTCAGCGGGTCAGGTGTCCCTGGGGCCTCGATTTCCTTATCAGCACAGTAGGCTGCTCTGCAGACTCATATTCCCGGTGTCAGTGAAAGATATGTGACTGTCAACTGCACCCTTGCTTTGTCTGTTTCCTGCCTCCATCTGGGGACAGGAGTCTCCATACTTGTGTTAATGTTATAGAATGCTGGATTAGATTTTGGGGTCTTCCCAGTCAAGTACCACCAACCGGGGGATTAAAGCAGCAGAAGCATGACCACCCTGCCTGGAAGCTGCAATCTTCATCAGGTATTGGAGGGCCAGCTCCTCTTAAGGCTGGGAGGAAGGGGCTGCCCAGGCCTCTGGCCGGTTTCTGGCAGGTGAAGCCTGTTCCTGTGGCCATGATGCCTAATGTCTACTTTTGAATCTACATGGTGTTCTCCCTGAGTGCACCAAGGTCTGTGCCCAAATATCCACTTCTGTAAAGCTCAGGGCCTCTGCTGTGGCTGCCTTCCAACCCCTCCACAAGGACCATTTGCAGGCTCTGCACCCTAGGATTGACTGATGGACACAGATCTCAGTCATTACACAGATATGACACGATATATACAGTGACCATGGGGCCATAAACATACAAAAGTCCACAGCGGGGGTAGGTAGAGGGTAGGTGGGGCCTCCAGGAGGATGTGTGGAGTGATCCCTTGGCATACTCTCCAGGAGATCTGTTCCCTGGGAAGACTGAGGCCATCATGAGCACGCCAAGGTCCTAGATTTGGATCTATGTACTCATGTGAGAACGGATGTCTGTCTTTGAAACTTGGTTCTACAGACAACTTAGGTGATCCATCAGGCTTGATCACCACCTAGGCATCAGGATGCCCCCAATCCTGTCTCCTCTCTGAGCCAAAGCACCCCTACTCCTCCCTCCTACTTAGGAGTAACAGGTGATAGACCCTGATTAGACCCACATGACAGTTGGTGATCAGGTTCAGGGAGGCCCACATGTCAAAGTAACAGGCTGTCACACTGTTTTCAGGCAAACTCTAACCCAGCCTCTGAGTCTAGTTGGCCAAGTCCAAGTGGGGGTGGGGGTACCTATTTCTGCAAGGCCAGTGATGTGACAATGTATTCTGTGAAGTCCTTACAGATATGTGAAAACAAGTTAATCTGACTTCTTTTTAAAAGATAATTTATTTCAGTTTCCACCTCCTGACAAGCCAAGATACTATATATATGGACGGACACACATTTTTTTTTCTTTGCAGGAAACAGCACTGCCTGAGATCTTCAACCTCATAACTTTCTCAACCTTAATTTTAGAACATGACCTGGCAGGGCAAAGAGTTGTGTAACTAACATATAAAACACAGCATTACTGGGGGCTTCTGGCAACAAATGGGTGTAGAACCCCGAGAGAGATCAGACCGTGCAGGTGGAGTCCCCATAGAAACTGCACTGGAAACTGGCTTAGTCAGCTGACAATCCAGGTCCTTACATATTCTCCATGGGTGGAGATGCCTGCTGTCTGAGACTAGTATCTCTCAACAGCCAAATGTCCAACTCATACCTCCCAAGGTACTCCTATTCTGGATGAAGTGACAATCTTAGGCCACTGACCAGAGTTATTCTCCGACACTGATTCTAAGCTAGTGCCTCTTGCAAGGGTGGTGGTAAGCCAACCTTCTTCCCCAGGCAGGGTCTCTTTCCTCCTTTCCATGAATACACTTACCATCTAGGAGTAAGGATGGGATAGGGCCAGCCTCAGCTAAGGATCAGAGCCAATGGGCAGGGGACCTTTCTAGATAAAGTGCAAAATCTCTGAAGTAGCTTAGGGGAGCATGGCTTGCCATGCCACTTCTTGTCAGAGCCCAGAGTCTACAGTGAAGCTGATCCCCCAAAGCACCAACTTCCCGAGGAGTCCCATGAACACAGCCTGACTTGGGGTTGCTCCCAGCTCTGTGCTCATCTGCTCTTCAAAGTTCAGAACAACTACCAGAGGGACATTGGCATAAGCTGCCCTGTCACCCTGCAGCAGGGCAAACTGGCCACCACCACACCCTGGACTCCATCCCTCCCCAGGAGCAGGTGACATGCTGACCCAGAGACTCCAGGGGATTGTGATACAGAATGAAGGCCCTGCAAGGAGCCTGTCATGCAAGATGGCTTTAGTAGGGGTGTGTTCACCACATGTGAGCAGTCTGGAAAATACCGGTCCACTCACTTCCTGACCTAATAGTGTACTCCTGTTCCTGGCCTGATGAAGTGGAGCACAAGAGCCCAGCCTGTGGGCATCCACTGGCAGCTTCTCAAGCTAAACAAACTGAGGCCATGACTGTGAGGATGGATCTGAAGGACAGCTGGAAGAGGCAGCTCAACCCTTAGCAAGGGCTCTACAGAGCTGGCTGGCTTGGAAGGTGGGATAAGTGGGAGCAGGAGCCTGAAATCAAGGAACCTCTGTTGAGGAGGGTTCTCCTATTGTTTCCCTGAGGCTGTGGGGCCAGTGCCACCTCCTTGAGTCCCTTTCTACTGTGTCCCACACAAGGATCCTCTAATTCTGAAGTCTCCTGGCTATCTGACTGCAGTCTAGAAACTGGAACAAAGCTGTTCTAGCTGTGTAGGCCCAGAATGAAAAACCAACTTGTCAGTGTGACCCAGGAAGGTCATGGTTGGGTGTGAGTCTATGGCCTAGGACTACTAAGGTCAACACAACTAGACCTCAGCTTTTCGCAGAGTTCCCAGCAGAGAAGCTTGGGTCCCTCACATCAGCAACCTGAAATGGCAGGTGTTTCTAGAGTAGTGTGTTGCCTCTGGAGACTCCTGTGTCCCTAGGCCCTACAGTGCCCCTGGGCTACAGAATCAGGGACAGAACACCAACTGCTTCCTCTCAGGTAAGGGGGGACAAGTCAGGCCATGAGTCCCCATCTGCATCAGGCCAAATCTTAAGCTGGGGCACTGGCTCTAAGCCTACCATATATTCTCGGGATCATCTGTTATTGGTTGGGTTTTGTTTGTTTGCTTGCTTGCTTGCTTTTTTCTTGAGATCAGGTCTCATGTGGCCCAGGCTGTCTTTGAACCCCTGATGTAGCTTGGGATGACTTTGAACTCCTGATCCTCCTGCCTTCACCTCCTGAGTGAGGGATTATAGGTGTATAGTAGGCCCAGCCAGGAAGATCTCCTTCCTGTGTGGATGAAGCTTGAAAACTAGCTTTGTCCATGGTCCTCTTGGAGATGCTGAGCTCCTCAGCCCCTTTGTTTCTTGGACAAGGGGAAAATCATAGTCTGCCAGGTTGCACAATGCAGATCTCTCAATCTACCAGAGTATGGTTCTGTCTGTGGTTAGACACTCAGCAGAGACATCCTGGAAGATGCCACACTCTGCCTCAGACACCCACAACACTCTAACAAAGCTGACCACAGCAGAGTGGCAACTCACCACTGGCCTGTTTTCAGACAGGGGATTTTTTTTCTGTGGGGGCAAACATTATTGTGAGTGACAATGACTCACACAGTCCTGAAGGTCACATGCCAGAAAGGCTTGAGTGTGTTGCTAAGGGGCCTGCACAGATCTAGGCCACTACCAGCCAAGACTGGAGATACTGTTTGGGATTATTCAGGTAATCTGACCTGCTTGTGGTTCCTGAGCTCAGCAGGGCAGCCAAGGAGTGTTTGCTAGGGAGCCCAGTTCACACTTGCTTGGTGGGCCTTAGGGGAAAGCTACTACAGGAAGACAGGATACTGGGGGGAGGGGCAGACTAGTGACCTCCCAGAGATACTGGTAAGAGGCTCTCAGATGTGAAAAGCTCACCAAAGCAAGTTGTCAACACAGGGCATCTGCAGGTGATGGACCAGTCCCCTGCAGCTTTGCTCCCATCAAAGGCTGCCTTGTCCTCAGAGGGTTACCAGGTCCTTAGCAGTGCCATGTGGCTCTAACATGGGTCAGAATTTCCCAACTCTGTGGGGCTGAATCTGCAAGAATACAGAGCAAGAGACAGACAAAACAGAGCCATCCTTCCTTCCTCCTTAAATGATTATCTCAAAAGGTTGATATGGAACAGTTTCTAAGTCATTTCTAAAGTCCATGTGATGGAACCATTGGTGCTCTTCCCCTTAGGGCTGTGCAGGGTGCACGGGGCAAAGCAGAAATCAGATAGCACAGCTGTTGGAGTCAAGTCTCACTACTCCTGAACTCACACTAACGCAGGACTGGGAGGAGCAAGGAGAGGTTACCATGCTTGCACAGCTGAGAAAGGCTCCAGAAAGGATAGCAGGGGTGATCTCACTTGTTGTCACTTGCTTAAAACACAGGAGCAGAGACAGGCACAGTTTGGGCTGGGTGTCCTAGCTCAGTAACACATACTATACCATCAGGGGCTGACCTGGCTGTCAGCATTTGTTTGAATTGCTCAGTGATGGATGAACTACCTTGGTCACCCCCAACATCCAAGAAATGCTCATTCCAAAGTTCCACCCATCCTGCTCTTCTTTGGACATCCTAGGGAGACACTCCCCACAAGGAAGGCTTGCCCATGGCAACTGAGTACACGGCTGTCAGGAGAGGACTGCTGTGCTCACAGACAGACCTTGACTAAATGTGACTGAAGGCTGAGGAACAGAGAAGGATGAGGTGATGAAGGGTGACAGGAGAGCCTGCAGGCCTAGTTCAAGGTCAGTGACCAGAATGGCAGTGGCTGGCACAGAAGGAACCTAGGCCACTGGTGGAGTGGATGGGGACAGCAGCTCTGGATGCTGTGCATCAGACTTGGTCTGGCACACGGGCGAAGAAGAGGCAAGTCCCTGTGGGTATTTCAGAAGAGGAGGACTGTGGACTGGAGCTACCAGGCAGCCTTATTTCCCTGTGACCTCCTCACTCAGTCAGATCCATTTTGTGTGCTCCAGCTCTAACCAGCTGCTCTTAGCAAGGGTGTCACCCCAGAGCCGCCGAAGCAACCTTTCCCCCATGCTTCTTGCATTCCAGGACATATGCTGCTGCCGCCTGGGAACTGAAGGATCTTCTCTGCTATTGAAGGAGAGGCTGTGTTGAGTGGACAGTTCACAGGTTCTGTTGACAGCCCTCGAGCCTGACACAAGGTTG